ATGTTCGGCCGAACTTGGATAACTCTCAAGTTCGATATCTCTAATCCTTATCTTTTTAATTTATTGTCATTTAATTTACTATTTAATTTTCTGCTGCTTTTTCTTCTGATCTTGAATATACTAATAAAATTTGCATCTTAAGTAATAAAACTATAAAGTAATCGCGAATTTTAAATACCATATTTGCCCCCCCCCCCCCCCCCCCCCCCACTTGAGCTAGGAGTCATTTGTTCAACAATGAGGATCATCTCCACTTTCAACATAACCATCTCCAGACCCAGAACTATCACTCAGTAAAATAAAATTTAGATTAAGGTTATTCATTTTAAGAGATTCAACATATAGAATGTTGGTATTCTCATAAATCACATACACGGGAGAGTCCTCTTCATCAGCTTTGTTTATGTTCTCACGCACATTTTCTAAGTCGTCCATGGTAGGATAAACCACAAATGAAAGAAAAAAGGCTAAAGAGTGATACCTGAGTAAAAGATGAAGCGAAGAAACTATTTAGAGTAGGGAGAGCTTGACAACACAGAGGTCCTAATGAAAATAAAATATGGCCAAAAACAAGGATCATAGAGTGTTGAAGAAGAAGAAGAAAATATTCACATGAATACTAAGGTCAAGTATGAGAGGGAACAAAAAATTGGTTGAAAAAACAAACCAACCATTATATAGTGAAATAAATGAAACAAATAAATGCTTTAGAATAAAATTAAATGGAAGATGAAAAATAAACAGTTTAGCCAATACCTCAAAAATGTAACAATACTCGAGTGTCCTAAAAGGAAGTATCACACTCGAACCTATAAACCTAGGCCCATGTGTGAAGAAAACTACGGAACGTCTCAAAGACGATATAGACATTTAATGAAGTTGTCTCCAAGTATTTTCCACTTCTCAACAAAAGATCACAACTAGGTGTACTCGACCCAGTTTTGTGGAACACTTCTCATGCATCACACCATAATAAGCCTTGGGGGAAACTGTTTTGGGCCGACCTCAAGCCCAACACAAGAAAAACCCATTTTGCCCACTACATAAATACTCCTTATTGAGAAGAAAAATGTATGATTACTTCATAACTTACTTTATACCTTTTATTCAAAACAGACTTGAGTGTCAGAGTGCTAAACTTACAAGTCCACCCTGCACAATAGCACTGGAGCAGCCTGATCCACCACATGAAGGATCTGCACCAATAATTCTGGTACTAAAATAGAACAATATTATTATTAGCACCAAATTTAGACACACTTAATAGGTTTTTTTGTAATATTTGACACATATAAAATATCATGTAAATTGAGTGAACTTAGTTTTGAGGAGTATGTTCCAACAGTTAGAGAGTTCTTAGCATGATGTTCAGTAAAATCTTGAAACTTATTTGTTTAGTGTGACACATGATTGATTGCACCATCATCAAAGTACCAATCATAGTCTTTGACTGAGTACTAAGATGCTAGAATGGCATTGTGATCTCATGTAATAATAGTGAATAGTTATCGGGCCAATCTTGATGCTAGCCAAGTATGTTGTACATTTCCTCTACCTCTTCTTTAACTTCCAAAGTTAAAACCTCTCCAACTTTTGTTTGAATCAAACTTTTAACCCATTAGTTAGATTTATTAACAATATTTATTACTATATTGAAGGTTATGTTGGTGAGGCTATTCAGTTGCTCAATATATTATCAAGTGTTAGCAAATGAGCTTGTAACTCAACCCTATTGGGTGTAGCTTGATCAAATAGTTTGACAACTACATGGTTAAATTTATAATTCAATATATCCATAGTTTGAAGGATTTGATCAAAAGTTGAAGTTGGATTTCCTCCAAGTTTAAGCTTATCAACCAGATTCTTCACCTTGATCGAATAATTTCCATTTTTACTTATCTTTTTCTAGCGCTATGGAACTCAAGTTTAAGATAAGTAATTTGTGACCTTGTGTGAACATCAACTAGACTTTAAGCTTCATCCCAAATTTGTTTTGAGGTTTCATTGTGCAATAACTATGTTGTTATGTTAGCAGTCATTGAATTTATCAACCATTTGAGAAATTTTTGATCCTATGTTTGCCAATCTTCAAAGGAGGAATTGCATGTTTTGATTGAATTTATAACAATAGTCAATTCTTCAGAGCATTCCTTCTTCTATAATATGTAACCATTGAGCCTGATACCTCTGATTATGGATAACCCCATTTAATTTTATAATGGATAGTGCATTGTAATGTATACAATTACTTTTTACTTAATCGAATATACCATAACAACTACTAGACAATTAATTAATTAATTAATTAATTAATTAATTAATGGTCTCTCTTTTTTTTCACAATTTATTTCATAATTTATGTTTCATAACGGATAAAACGGTGAAATATAAATTAATCGGAGTGCGTTTGTTTTAAGTTATGAAATATCATTTCTTAGAAATATAAGATTTCTATCTATGTGTTTAGTTAAAACTAAAATCTCTAAGGAATGTTTTTCAAATTTTATTTGATTTAAAAATAAAAAAAATAAAAATAAATACTAATGTAAATGTTAGTAGGAAATTATTGTTGGTTAACTTTATTTCTATGAAAATGTTGAATTTTCACCATTTAGACATGAGAATAAATGAGAGAAAAATCATATGTAAAATAATTCTTGAAAATAAAAAATATCTAAAAACAATTTTAAAAAACTTAAAATAAACGTGGTATTATTGTTTTCTTATATCACATTTCCAAAAATATATTTTCTATCTGAGAAACAAAGACACCCTCGTTGTTTAAGGAATATATTGTCTTCTTTTGCATCATATCATATGTATGGATCATTCTTTAATAATAGGAGCAAATTTCAAAACCCTTTTCTTCAATGACAATTGACAAACAAGAGTCATATTCATACAATAAGATATGGATCATGAAGACTTTCTAATTCAAACACGCCTTTTGACTATATCAACCATATTAGTTATTAGTGTCAAATTTTATTCATTTATCCATTAGTGTCAAATTTTATTCATTTATCCATGTGCTTTCTGATGAATAATGAAGAGCATCTTAGTTAAATTTGACATAGTCTTTGTGACTTCAATTATACATATTTTGAATCACCACATAAACCATCACATGAGAACCAGCTATCATAGGTACACTACAGTGTATTATTTTAATAATTGATTGCTCATTTTAAAACCATACAAGAGCTTTGTCTCCAAAGGGGTTTCATGAATCCTTCCCAAATTAATTCCCATCAAATCAAAACAACAATTTTTCCACCTCCAAATTTCTACCTAAAATAGGAATAAAAAATGTGGAAAAGAAAAAAAAACTAATAAAAGTTAAAATATAGATAGACATTGTAACAAAATCCGTATTCACATATATCCATCCGAATTTATTCTGAAGTTGATAGAAAAATTCATTTTGATTGAGTTTGAATTCGGATTTAGGTTTTTTCCGATTATAAAATATATAGATGGATTGGGTAATAGAGACATTAATATCATCCCGAACTCGCTCCATTTATTTCATTATATATATTATTATTTATTTTTGATAATTTAAAATATTAAATATGTGTTCAATGTTTTGATAATTTGATTTGTATTTATTATTTAAAGAATTAACTATATTTTTAGTCCTTATGAATATCTCAAATTTTATTTTTAGTCCTTATTAAAAAATGATATATTTTGGTCTCTACAAAAATTTTATTCATACAATTTTAATCATGTTATTTTTTAAAATTTTGAAAACTATTTAAATACTTCTAAATTTTTAAATTTTTGTATAATTTTTTTCAGAAGTTTTTAAAATACTAAAAAATATTTATTTAAGAAATTTTAACATTTTTTAAAATAAGAAGAATTAAATATAATTTTTTTTAAATTTCAAAAGATATTAATAAAAGTATTGAAAATCTCGATTTAGAAATGAAATTTTAAGTTTTTTTTCGATGAATTTTTTATAATGTTCTAAACATGTATACGAAATAATCATTCAAAAATACATATTGATTTAACAGCAGAGACTAAAACTATGTGCATAATAATTTTGTAAGGACTAAAACGTGTCAGTTTTTTTTATAGGGACCAAAAACGAAATTTGGTAATTTATAGAGACAAAAAACATATTTAATCCTTATTTAAAACATTTGAAATATATATATGAAATTTTTTGAGATTATTTTATTTTATTATTTATAATGTAATTTGATTTTAGAAAAAATAAATATTTCTATTAAAAATTTGATTTTATTAAATAGATGGTGGTAAGATGGGAATATCCGAATCCGTTTAATTTAAGACGAATTTGAATTTTAATTCTCTATATTTATTTGAGTTTAGGATAGAGAATGAGAATTGATTAAAAATTTAAATTTGAGTTTAACAAAAATAAGAATCGTATTCGACCCACCTCATTGTCATGTCTAACTTTAAATTCACCAGATTAAAATTAAATGAGTTAAGAATTAAAAGACCTCGATGTCTATAATTTAACTCTTAACAAATAATATAAATAGTAAAAAAATGACTCAATAATTTTTTTAAAATACTTATGTATTAACCATCAATAAGATTTTCACTTGCGGTGAAACTCAAATTCTGATCTTTATAGAATTTGAACATACTTTTTATCAACCGAATCAATCTATTTAGTTTAATATTAAGTATGCTTAATTATCTTTAGCTAGGTTATATTCATATATAAATTAATAATGATTGAGTATCTATGATATGCATGAGATTTGTATATTTAATCTTAATCATCTTATTATAATATGAAATCTGATTAAGAATATTTTTAAGAAACCACTTTTTATACACTACACTGTCCCACTTCAATCAGTTTATTTTCTTTCTTCTTTCCTATCAACATATTGTTCTTTCTCCACTCTCACTCACACAAACACACTCTCTCACACAAACCTTTATACCTAGTTATAGTAATAGTAATAGATATATATATTATATATTAGAGGTTCTTTACTTGTTTTGTAATGGATGAAAAGTGGAAGCTATCAAAGAAGGAAAAAAGTTCAACCTCATCAACAAAATCATCAATATTCTCAAGAAGCTGTTCAACAAGAGGCTCTAGTTCAAAGTCACCACTACTTTCAAAGAGCTTATCACAAAAGTGTTCTTCTACATCGAATAACAACAACAATGATAATCTTTCTAGAAGCTACTCACAGAAGAGTCCATCCATAGGTAAGAAATGTACCAATATAGCTAAAGAACAGAAAGCAAGATTTTACATCATGAGGAGATGTGTAGCTATGTTAGTTTGTTGGCACAAACATGGAGATAAATAGTGAAGGGAGGTGCAGATAGAAGAACAACTGTGTTACATACTCAGATCCCCTTTCGTTGAACAATTTTTTGAGGAATCTTATTTTGTTTTTATTTGTCTTTTGAAATTGTAATTATGAATTATCTATAAGATTTGCACATTTGCAAACATTATCTTCATTCTTGTTTTAGTATTTGTAAAATTTTTAGTGCATATTTGAATTAGTTGTGAGTTTAGCTTAATCACATTTAGACAATATTATGGTAACTTTGATTAATTAAATATTTTATAATTTTTTCTAATTAAATATTTTTTATGCGCATAATTACATAAATTAATCTTTTAAAATAAATTATAAAATTCTCGTCCAAAAAAATTTAATAAGAGTTGAATTCGAATCTATGATTTCTGTTATTATTATAATAATATTAGATTATATATATATATATATATATATATATATATATATATATATATATATATATATATATATATATATATATATATATATATATATATATATATATATATATATATTGTGTTTAGACAGAAGGAAAGGTTTTTTTTTTTTTTTGGTAATCAGAAGAATATTTTGCTGAAAATAAATAGTATAATAATAGTATATAGCATGATAGTACAAGTTGGATCTACATTGGAAATACAAGCCACGTTCGTTCTTGGTTTTTCCTATAAAAAGGTGAAAAAAAGAAAGTAATAACTGAATGTTAGAACTTACTAGACCAGAGATTTACTATTGCAGTTTAGAAAAACATGAAGTTAGATCTTCTGCTCAGCTGTTCAAATCATGCTACTATATGGGTCACGGTGGTGAAAGTGTAATTTTTTTGTTTAATTAAATTTTTGTTGAAAAGTTATTTATTTAATGCGATCATTTTTGTTGAGTAGATAGTGCACAAGTGAGATATGAGTTGTATTATGTACAAGTTTGTTTTTTCTATTGGATCGTAAGTGAGACATGGTGGGACATATTAATTCAATTGTAGATAATTTTTCTTGCATGGTACAACACTATTTTGTTTGTGTGGTGTAGAATTAGTCAAATTTTGAATTGTAGGTCATGTTCTTTTGAGTTAAAGAATGCATGAGTCATTTACCAGAGATTCGTGTACAAGATCTTTTTGAAGCATAAGAAAAATAAATGAGATCTATATGGTTGATATGGTGAGCAAGACACAAGGTGTATAGACTCATTTTGAGGACCCAAAAATTGTATCCGAACATGTTAGAAAGTATGACATGAGGGTAAACCAAAGAAAGAAAGTTCCGAGATTTAGAGCGGAAAATTCTTAGAATTTATGATCATCTAAAGAGGGATAGAAGTCAATCTTGACAAGTACAAGGCAATACTCGAAATATGAGGTTTGACATCTATAAAAGAGGTATGACGCTTAGCACAACATGTAACATCTTTATCCTAGTTTCTTTTCAAATTGAAAGATGATTCTTATTTATTTTATAAATTCCTCAAAAAGCCAATACTCTTTTAGTGAACTTCCTAGTGGGAATGGGCCTTCAATATCTTAAAGAGATTTCACTTTGCAGCTTCTATCTTATACTAGTTTTACACCTTATGCAAAGTTGACTCTTTACTTAACATTTATATAGACGATGTGATCCTTAGCACTATAAAATCTCGACTTTTAATTTAGAAGAGAATAACGAATAAATTTGGATAAATATCTCCTTTAGGATGTCACACATACTTCTCAATCAAATATTTTTCAACTTATAAAATATCGCAGCGGAATTAAAATAATTAATCAATTAACGCATCTTATAAATATGAACGATGAAGATCAAGAGTTGTTGTTGTTGTGTACTATACCATATTCTCATACTCACTTCAAAGAAACTCTATTGCATGGAAGAGATTTCTTGACCTTTTAAGAATTTTAATCTTCCTTGTGCTCAAAGGACTTTAAGGAGAGAATGAGCATAAACCATTATGTTGGTGAAAGTTTGTTCTTAAAGGAAAATTCTCGTAGAAAGATGGTATGTTTGAAAAGAAGAAGGGCAAAGGTCAGCAAAAATTTTATGGCGGTGATACTTTTGCAAATAGGTGTTATCACTGTAAGAAGGAAGGTCACATACGAAAGGTATATCCTGATCAACAAAATAATCATGTTGTGAAGGACAATGGTAACACAACCATTGTGCAAGATGATTTTGAATCATCAGTTGTTCTTGTGGTTTCAAGCACAAATTCTAGCAAGGAATGGATCATGAATTCATGTTGCACTTGTCACATGACTCCAAACAAAGATGTGTTTGAGGAATTATATGATCAAGATGGTGGATCAGTGTTGTTAGGAAACAATAAAGCCTTTGCAAGTATTAGATCTGGGAGATTCAAGCTCCATGACGAGTCAATAAGGTTATTGACTGATGTTAGGTATGTATCTGATCTGTAGATAAAATTTACTTTCCTTGAAGAATTAGACAAGAAATGATATGTTTTTACAGGAGATCAAGGTAACCTAAGGGTAATGAAGGGGTCGAAGGAAGTCTTGAGAGACATCAAAAGGTAAGGTATGTATACTGATCAGTGCATTTTGATGCATTTTCTTCTATTATTGTACTTAGACAACTCTATAGTTTATTTTATTAGTTTTACTATTTTAGCGTGTTTTTACATTTAAGTTTATTTATGTCATTATTGTATTTTCGTACCTTATTTTTAGCTTAAGCGTTTAATTGATATATTCTCATTGTGCAGACCATAACTTGAGCTACGAGGATCAGAATGACGCATTCTGATATGCGTTAGAAATCTAAGAGAATGAGGTACACGTTTTGTGTTGAAGTAGGAAGTTAATTCGGACTAGAATAAATCGTTTTAGTTTTAGACTTTAGAAAATAGCCAATTTTGAGTCGATTTTAGGCCAATTTTTATATTTTCTGACCCGATTAGGATTAGACCAGGAATTTCCTTGTTTCCTTTAACATAAGTCAACCGCGATATTGTACACATTATTCACTATTCACGAAATTATTCAGTGTGTTGTATGATTCATGAAGAACTAATCCCAGGCAAAATCGGTTGATTACATGTTCCATCATACTTTGAGGTTATAATAATTTCAATCCAAATTATGTTCCTTTCAATGATGTTATGTGATCATTGTTTGCTTCATTCAATTATCATATAGTAGTGTTGATTTAATTTAATTGTTTTATGCCCCTTAACTGTAATCATGTTAGCGTTGCTTATTCGTCATCGTGTTTGATAGAGTTGCATTTTCTTAATTAGAGAGAGCTTAAATTCGTTTGCTTAATTCAAATAATATAAAATTACATCACATAAAATCATTTGCTCTTGTCAGTGAGCTTTATAATCGAATAAGATAAATAATCCGCGTATGAGATTGGAATTATAATAATTAGTGATAAGTCAGAACCAGAATCAATAGATTAGCCATTTTAGCTTATTTCATAATCACTTATTTTTAATCACTTTATCTGAATCAAAACCTAAAATCCATCATTAATCGTTACTTTAGTTAGTTAATTTTTCCAAGAGTCCTTAATATACGATACTCGAGTGTCGTTATAGCGTTAGAAATGTTAAGACAAAGCTATTGGATTGACTTGACTTGTACAGATCAAAATAAAAATCGCCACCGCGCTTTATTGTTTTCAAAGGAATGGGAAAAGAGCGAATAATGCAAAGAGGGGGAAAGATTCTAGGTAAGGGGGGTTGGTTATGCAAAGGGAATGTATTAGCACCCTAAACATCTACGGTACTCCGCATGACCTCTTTGTAAAATCTCTATATTTTGGCTATAAAATGTTGTATAAAAATATATTGTGGGGATGAGAAAAGAAATATTTTTTTATGAATTTTGCAACCGCCGTGGTTCCGAACCTCTAGTGCCTACGTACCACCTTCCGTGCAATAGGGGATCAGGGTACACGTAGTTCCTCTTTAAAAATTTTAAAACGCGTGTGTGTTGGTTAATTTTAAGAGATAAGACATCATTATCATTATTCGTGTGGAAAACATACTTACTACCCAAAATTATGAGAAAGGAGAATTTGTGTCATCTCAAAGTGGAGGATATGGCTTGGATTTCAAAATCAACAATGCCTCACTCAACACCCAAGTGGAAAATATCTCTCTTCACTACATATTGTAGAAGTATAGTTGTTTGCATCACTACAAAAATTGACAAGAGTCCAATCTTTTGAGAAAAGTTTTTAAAGATAAAAGCCAAAATAGAAAAATAGTTTGAATGAGATTAATTGACTTTTAGTCTTCTCACAAAATGTTAAGGTATTGTTAAGTTGATTGAAATTTGATTAAGAAAATGGTTTTGAAAATGCATGGACCTAAGTCCAAGTTTATTATGAAAGTGGTTCAAATTTTAAAACAATAAGAGTTTTTAAAAGGAGAGAGAATATTTTTGAAATTAAAGAAGATGGGAGGATATGAAGAGACTATCCTAAAGCATAAAGGTAAAAGCTATGGAAAAGGACCATCTAACCAACAAGAAGCCGACACTTAACATAATTAGTCAATGTAGAAATCTATTCTTTGGATTTGAAACCAAGCAAACAATTACAGAAAAAGGACCTCTTAAGGAAACCAAGCTCCAATTGCATTAAGCCTTCACAAAAATTGGGCTGAGTAATGGCTGTATACATATGAATTCCAGATCACAGACTAAGCATGTAATCACATTAACCTGCACACAAACAAACAAAAAACTCAATATCTTGGAATAAACCCCAAGAACTCCAGACAAGATAATAATCAAGGTCATAAGATCTCAAGGTATGCCACAGTTTCTAATCCTAAGTCCAAGAAATTCACAATCTCCATAATGCCAAGGATAGTAACCAAGTATTCCAAGTAACAATAAAGTTTTTTAGGGTTTAAGTTGTTTATTAGGTATCTTCAAAAAAAAGCTCAAGTGAGAAAAAATAAAAGGACATAAAAGTAAATGCCCAAGTGAGCAAAGATGAAAAATAACATGAAATGTAAATGCTAAAGTAAATGGT